GTAAAGCATAAATGGGTAGACTCAGGAAGCCAAGTAAACTCTTGGCTGGGTAAGATAAACAATAGGATGGAGAGGATAGGTAGGACCTAGGACGGGTGGGATAAACACTAGGATAGAGGATAGGTAGGACCTAGGATGGGTAGGATAAACATTAGGATAGCATAGGTAGGACCTAGGATGGGTAGGATAAACACCAGGATAGAGGATAGGTAGGATCTAGGATGGGTAGGATAAACACTAGGATAGTGTAGGTAGGACCTAAGATGGATAGGATAAACACTAGGATAGATAAGATCTAGGTTTGAGTAGGATAAACATTAGGATAGCATAGGACCCAGGATGGGTAGGATAAACACTATGATAGAGAGGATATGTGGGACCTATGATGGGTAGGATAAACACTAGGATAGCATAGGTAGGACCCAGGATGGGTAGGATAAACAATAGGATAGAGAGGATAGGTAGGATCTAGGATGGGTAGGATGAACACTAGGATAGAGAGGATAGGACTTAGGATAGGGAGGGGGAGAACCCCATATGAAAAGAGGATAGTTAAGCTCTAGGATGGGTAGGAGAGGGTAGGTTAATCCTAGGATGAGGTAGGTTTATCCTAGGATGAAGAGAGTAGGTTAATCCTAGGATGAGGATGGTATGTTAATCCTAGGATGAGGATGGTAGGTTACTCCTAGGAGGAAGGTAGGTTAATCCTAGCTTGAGGTAGGATAAACCTGGGATGAGGTGGGTTAATCCTAGGACAGGGTAGGTTAATCCTAGGATGAGGAAGATAGGTTAATCCTAGGATGAAGGTAGGTTAATCCTAGGATGAGGAAGGTAGGTTAATCCTAGGATGAAGAGGGCAGGTTAATCTTAGAATAAAGAGGGTAGGTTAATCCTAGCGTGATCAGGGTAGATTATTCTACAATGAGGATGGTCTGTTAATCCTAGGATGAGGAGGGTAGGTTAATCCCAGGATTAGGTAGGTTAATCCTAGGATGAGGAAGGTAGGTTAATCCTAGGATGAGGAAGGTAGGTTAATCCTAGGATGAGGAAGGTAGGTTAATCCTAGGTTGGAAAGGAAAGGGAGGGTAGGTTAATCCTAGGATGAGGGTAGGTTAATCCTACAGTGAGGATGGTAGATTAATCTTGTAATGAGGATGGTCTGTTAATCCTAGGATGAGGAGGGTGGGTTAATCCTAGGATGAGGTAGGTTAATCCTAGGATGGTAAAGGAGGGCAGGTTAATCCTAGGATGTGGAGGGTGGGTTAATCCTAGGATGAGGAAGGTAGGTTAATCCCAGGATGAGGTAGGTTAATCCTAGGATGGTAAAGGAGGGCAGGTTAATCCTAGGATGAGGATGGTATTTTAATCCTAGGATGAGGATGGTATTTTAATCCTAGGATAAGGAGAGGAGGTAAGGTAGAAAGTTGTTTTATTATTCCCAGGATGTAGAGTGGTGCTTGCCCTGGTGAGGTGATCAATAACTGTGTACTGGCTCTCTTTCTCTCTCTCTCAATCTCTCTTTCTGTCTGTCTCTGTCTGCCTCTCTCTCTCTCCTACCTTTATTTTCAGCATAAGAGCTGTTATTTTCCTGGACTCATTTTAAAACCATTTTTTATTGTTTTGAGACATACAAAGAGGGAACAGGATGAAATTGGAGCCGTCTGTGGGCCAGCGATTTTTTTTTTTTTTTGGGTCTGACCAGAAGACCCCTGGCTGTCTTCAAGAGAGAGCTGAACAGAAACCTATAGTGCCTGACCAGCTAGGCTATGGGTTAAGATCTGGTCATGGGCGAGGCTGCGGGGGCGCTGACCCCCCGGAACACCCTCCAGGTTTACTCCAGGTATGCTGTACAAACGTGTTCCAGACTTAAATCACCCTGGGATTAATGATCTCAGATGAAGTGATGTTCTGGAGGTTACAGTCACAGTGTAGTTCCTGCTGGCTGCCCGTCTTGTGGTGTACAACCTGTCTCTTTTTTTTTTTTCTTTCCACAAGTGTAGTAGTACCTTGACAATATTGTGTATGTACATAACATTAAGGCCACACTCATCCCTCTAGTGTTGAAGACTGCTGAAATGACAGATCTGTCCAGGTGAGAAACGAGTCGTCTTGCTCTGCCCTCTGTTCTGTCAAGATGTAGATAAGACGGGGGTGGGTGGAGGCAGTCCAAGAAAGTGGAGCATACTTAATTAAGGTGTGAGTGCACTTGTGCCTTGTTCAGAATCTTGCAGCCTCGACTGTTGACCAGATGCAAGATACATCTTAATGCTCTTAGCTTCCTGGCCACTTTGTTTGCAAGATTTGCAACGTGGTTCTTCATAGTCAGTTTGGAATCAGATTTCACCCCAAGGATGTCAACTTCGTTCCTGGGTACCAACACACACCCGTTCATTCTTACCACTGCTCCAGCATTGTCTTCATGGTGCCAAGAGTCCATCATCATTTGTATTTTCTCAGTAGCAAAGGTGATCTGCCGCCATTTTCCCCAGGCTGACATAGCTGTAAGCTGATGATTGATGTAACTTAGAGCAGCTGACATTTTCTGTTGGATAAGCAAATGTCAGAGTACAGTCATTTGCATATGCATGAGATTCTGAGATGAAGTAAGAAGGTCATTGAAGTAGACATTCCATAACAATGGCCCAAGTACACTTCCCTGTGGCACACTTACACAAATAGTGTGTCTTGTCGACTCTGTCCCGTTGAGCAGGCATAGTGTAGAGCCTGTATTTCCCAGTGCTTGCAGTTTTGCCAAGAGTCCCTGGTGCCATACTCGGTCGAAAGCACCAGCAATGTCCAGTACTACACAGCTGATCTTGGATTCATCCAGTGACTGGTGCCACATAATGGAGAGGTTTAACAGCAGATCTGCATCAGAGTGACCTTTTCTGAAGCCATATTGACGGTCAAAAAACGCTGACATCTGCCGTGAGATTATTGTCTCAAGAATTTTGCCAGTGATTGGCACGAGTGACACTGGACTGGAGTTGCTGATTTCTGCTCTGCTCTTCTTTTTGTGAACAGGGACTACATTTTCCTCGTTCCATAGAGAAGGTTATTTACACTGTACTAGGCAGTGCTGATTGATACGAGTTAGAGTTGATGTTATCTGGTCTACACATGTACTCAGCAGCCATGGTCTCAACTGGTATACACATGTACTCTGCAGTCATGGTCTCAACTGGTATGCACATGTACTCTGCAGTCATGGTCTCAATTGGTATGCACACGTACTCTGCAGTCATGGTCTCAACTGGTATACACATATACTCTGCAGTCATGGTCTCAACTGGTATGCACATGTACTCAACAGTCATGATCTCAACTTATCTGAGTGTATAGCCTCTTCTTGTTCCAGGGATTTAAAGAGAAGATACACTTCATCCTGCCTTATTGTCACCACTGACAACTTTGGTAGAGTTCTTACGGTTAGCCTTACTGGATCAGGAACTTGCATCTGGACAACAAAGTGTTCAGCAGTGAGGTCAGCTTCCTCTTGACTGCTAGTAGAGACGGTAGCATCCTGCCGATTTAGTGGTGGAATGATTTCATCAGGTGAATAAATAGCCTTGTTGGTCGTTGACCAAGAACCACCAGGTTTTGGAGTCCATTCTTCCTGATGCCAGTTTTGTTTTTGCATCAGCCTCCCATCTAGGGATGGACCAGTTATAGACTTGTCCTATTTGTCAACGTTCTTATGTTATATAGTGGGATGCCTTCTGTACCTTCTCCAAGTCTTATACTTAACAGTAACATACAAGACAACGATAACCCAACCAAGATTAATCTGTAGACTTCGTCTCTTTATCTTCCCCTCTCCCCTTTCCCCCCCGACCTACTTTGCATGTCTTACACTGTCTTCAGCTTTACCTCACCTCATCTGTCGTTATTGTAGCCAAGTGTTTGTTGACTTTTATAATTGATGTTCCAGGGATATTATTGATGTTTCAGGGATATGATTTGTGTTTCAGGGATATTATTGATGAATTCAGGGAAATTGATGTATTCAGGGATATAATTGATGCATTCAGGGATATAATTGATGTATATAGGATATAGTTGATGTATATTGTCGTGTGGGAACTTAATGGAGATATGGGAGTAAGAAATACACTCGTTGATCGGTTTGTAAGACGTATATTGGCAGAGTGTTGGGATGGGGGGGCAGCCTACCTGTTGAGTTGTATGCCTGGGGACGACGTGAGAGCGAGGCCTGCCATACCCTGTTCACACGGGCATAGCTTGGTGACGTCACAAACTAGCCACTGAGCCTAGCTGAAGGAATCACACACACACACACATATATAATATATATATTATATATATATATATATTATATATATATATATATATAATATATATATATATATATATATATATATATATATATATATATATATATATATTATAGGAATTCAGTAACACTACTGACAATATAATTGACGTACATAGGATATAATTGATGTACATAGTATATAATTGATGTATATAGGATATAATTGATGTATATAGGATATAATTGATGTATGTCTTTGATGTATATGCCTGGAGTCTACCTGGAGGGCATTCCGGGGATCAACGCCCCCGCGGCCCGGTGCACGACCAGGCCTCCCGGTGGATCAGGACCTGATCAACCAGGCCGTTATATAAGATATAATTAATGTATATAGGGTACTCAGGAAGAAAGAAGACGTAATAATGGACTCGAGATGGATAAATTTAGCTTTATAAAGGAGATAGGAAGACACGAGTTTGCGTATAGTTGTTGATGAGTGGAAATAATTGCTAGTGATGGAAGGTTATACCTCGGAGAAATACACGAGTGAGAGGGATGTACCTAGCATGGGCCAGTAGGCTTACTCTACAGCTTGCTTTCCATGTTTAGCCTGTCGATGATGCTGGGGTCAGCGCCCCCTAAATCTCAGTCCCAGGACTGACTTGGTTGACAGCCGGATGTGGTAACAAGTGTATAAAACGCCCCTTTTTTTTCTATATTGCAGGTTGGTGATGGAAGTAGAGGGGTAGAGGCAGCCAAGGATAGAACCGAGAAGTAGAGGCCAAGAGTAGAGCAGAGATGGTTGACACACGTGTTGTGAGTACTGCATTTATGTTGTAGGGTATGCTGAGTCATGTCCAAGTGCACTCATGTATGCTGAGTCATGTCCAAGTGCGCTCATGTATGCTGAGTCATGTCCAAGTGCACTCGTGTATGCTGAGTCATGTCCAAGTGCACTCATGTATGCTGAGTCATGTCCAAGTGCACTCATGTATGCTGAGTCATGTCCAAGTGCACTCGTGTATGCTGAGTCATGTCCAAGAGCACTCGTGTATGCTGAGTCATGTCCAAGTGCACTCATGTATGCTGAGTCATGTCCAAGTGCACTCATGTATGCTGAGTCATGTCCAAGTGCACTCATGTATGCTGAGTCATGTCCACGTGCACTCATGTATGCTGAGTCATGTCCAAGTGCACTCATGTATGCTGAGTCATGTCCAAGTGCACTCATGTATGCTGAGTCATGTCCAAGTGTACTCATGTATGCTGAGTCATGTCCAAGTGCACTCATGTATGCTGAGTCATGTCCAAGTGCACTCATGTATGCCGAGTCATGTCCAAGTGCACTCGTGTATGCTGAGTCATGTCCAAGTGCACTCATGTATGCTGAGTCATGTCCAAGTGCACTCATGTATGCTGAGTCATGTCCAAGTGCACTCGTGTATGCTGAGTCATGTCCAAGTGCACTCGTGTATGCTGAGTCATGTCCAAGTGCACTCATGTATGCTGAGTCATGTCCAAGTGCACTCGTGTATGCTGAGTCATCTCCATCAAGTACACTCATGTATGCTGAGTCATCTCCATCAAGTACACTCATGTATGCTGAGTCATCTCCAAGTACACTCATGTATGCTGTCATCACCATCAAGTACACTCATGTATGCTGTCATCACCATCAAGTACACTCATGTATGCTGTCATCACCATCAAGTACACTCATGTATGCTGTCATCACCATCAAGTACACTCATGTATGCTGTCATCACCATCAAGTACACTCATGTATGCTGTCATCACCAAGTACACTCATGTATGCTGTCATCACCATCAAGTACACTCATGTATGCTGTCATCACCATCAAGTACACTCATGTATGCTGTCATCACCATCAAGTACACTCATGTATGCTGTCATCACCATCAAGTACACTCATGTATGCTGTCATCACCATCAAGTACACTCATGTATGCTGAGTCATCAAGTACACTCATGTATGCTGAGTCAAGTACACTCATGTATGCTGAGTCATCAAGTACACTCATGCTGAGTCATCAAGTACACTCATGCTGAGTCATCAAGTACACTCATGTATGCTGAGTCATCAAGTACACTCATGTATGCTGAGTCATCAAGTACACTCATCCTTCAGAGTGCAAGCACTCCACTCATCCTTCAGAGTGCAGGCACGCCACTCATCCTTCAGAGTGCAGGCACTCCACTCATCCTTCAGAGTGCATTCACTCCACTCATCCTTCAGAGTGCAGGTATGCCACTCATCCTTCAGAGTGCAGGCACTCCACTCATCCTTCAGAGTGCAGGCACGCCACTCATCCTTCAGAGTGCAGGCACTCCACTCATCCTTCAGAGTGCAGGCACTCCACTCATCCTTCAGAGTGCAGGCACTCCACTCATCCTTCAGAGTGCATTCACTCCACTCATCCTTCAGAGTGCAGGTATGCCACTCATCCTTCAGAGTGCAGGCACTCCACTCATCCTTCAGAGTGCAGGCACGCCACTCATCCTTCAGAGTGCAGGCACTCCACTCATCCTTCAGAGTGCAGGCACTCCACTCATCCTTCAGAGTGCAGGCACGCCACTCATCCTTCAGAGTGCATTCACTCCACTCATCCTTCAGAGTGCAGGCACTCCACTCATCCTTCAGAGCGCAGGCACTCCACTCATCCTTCAGAGTGCAGGCACGCCACTCATCCTTCAGAGTGCAGGCACTCCACTCATCCTTCAGAGTGCAGGCACTCCACTCATCCTTCAGAGTGCAGGCACTCCACTCATCCTTCAGAGTGCAGGCACTCCACTCATCCTTCAGAGTGCAGGCACTCCACTCATCCTTCAGAGCGCAGGCACTCCACTCATCCTTCAGAGTGCAGGCACTCCACTCATCCTTCAGAGTGCAGGCACTCCACTCATCCTTCAGAGCACAGGCACTCCACTCATCCTTCAGAGCGCAGGCACTCCACTCATCCTTCAGAGCGCAGGCACTCCACTCATCCTTCAGAGTGCAGGCACTCCACTCATCCTTCAGAGTGCAGGCACTCCACTCATCCTTCAGAGCGCAGGCACTCCACTCATCCTTCAGAGTGCAGGCACTCCACTCATCCTTCAGAGCGCAGGCACTCCACTCATCCTTCAGAGTGCAGGCACTCCACTCATCCTTCAGAGTGCAGGCACGCCACTCATCCTTCAGAGTGCAGGCACGCCACTCATCCTTCAGAGTGCAGGCACGCCACTCATCCTTCAGAGTGCAGGCACGCCACTCATCCTTCAGAGTGCAGGCACTCCACTCATCCTTCAGAGCGCAGGCACTCCACTCATCCTTCAGAGCGCAGGCACTCCACTCATCTTCAGAGCGCAGGCACTCCACTCATCCTTCAGAGTGCAGGCCTCCACTCATCCTTCAGAGTGCAGGCACTCCACTCATCCTTCAGAGTGCAGGCACTCCACTCATCCTTCAGAGTGCAGGCACTCCACTCATCCTTCAGAGCGCAGGCACTCCACTCATCCTTCAGAGCGCAGGCACTCCACTCATCCTTCAGAGCGCAGGCACTCCACTCATCCTTCAGAGCGCAGGCACTCCACTCATCCTTCAGAGTGCAAGCACTCCACTCATCCTTCAGAGTGCAGGCACTCCACTCATCCTTCAGAGTGCAGGCACTCCACTCATCCTTCAGAGTGCAAGCACTCCACTCATCCTTCAGAGTGCAGGCACTCCACTCATCCTTCAGAGTGCAAGCACTCCACTCATCCTTCAGAGTGCAGGCACTCCACTCATCCTTCAGAGTGCAAGCACTCCACTCATCCTTCAGAGTGCAGGCACTCCACTCATCCTTCAGAGTGCAAGCACTCCACTCATCCTTCAGAGCACAGGCACTCCACTCATCCTTCAGAGCGCAGGCACTCCACTCATCCTTCAGAGTGCAAGCACTCCACTCATCCTTCAGAGTGCAAGCACTCCACTCATCCTTCAGAGCACAGGCACTCCACTCATCCTTCAGAGTGCAAGCACTCCACTCATCCTTCAGAGCACAGGCACTCCACTCATCCTTCAGAGCGCAGGCACTCCACTCATCCTTCAGAGCGCAGGCACTCCACTCATCCTTCAGAATGCAGGCACTCCACTCATCCTTCAGAGCGCAGACACTCCACTCATCCTTCAGAGCGCAGGCACTCCACTCATCCTTCAGAGCGCAGGCACTCCACTCATCCTTCAGAGTGCAGGCACTCCACTCATCCTTCAGAGCGCAGGCACTCCACTCATCCTTCAGAGTGCAGGCACTCCACTCATCCTTCAGAGTGCAGGCACTCCACTCATCCTTCAGAGTGCAGGCACTCCACTCATCCTTCAGAGTGCAAGCACTCCACTCATCCTTCAGAGCGCAGACACTCCACTCATCCTTCAGAGTGCAGGCACTCCACTCATCCTTCAGAGCGCAGGCACTCCACTCATCCTTCAGAGTGCAGGCACTCCACTCATCCTTCAGAGTGCAGGCACTCCACTCATCCTTCAGAGTGCAAGCACTCCACTCATCCTTCAGAGCGCAGACACTCCACTCATCCTTCAGAGTGCAGGCACTCCACTCATCCTTCAGAGCGCAGGCACTCCACTCATCCTTCAGAGTGCAGGCACTCCACTCATCCTTCAGAGTGCAGGCACTCCACTCATCCTTCAGAGTGCAAGCACTCCACTCATCCTTCAGAGCGCAGGCACTCCACTCATCCTTCAGAGCGCAGGCACTCCACTCATCCTTCAGAGTGCAGGCACTCCACTCATCCTTCAGAGTGCAGGCACTCCACTCATCCTTCAAGCGCAGACACTCCACTCATCCTTCAGAGTGCAGGCACTCCACTCATCCTTCAGAGCGCAGGCACTCCACTCATCCTTCAGAGTGCAGGCACTCCACTCATCCTTCAGAGTGCAGGCACTCCACTCATCCTTCAGAGTGCAAGCACTCCACTCATCCTTCAGAGCGCAGACACTCCACTCATCCTTCAGAGTGCAGGCACTCCACTCATCCTTCAGAGCGCAGGCACTCCACTCATCCTTCAGAGTGCAGGCACTCCACTCATCCTTCAGAGTGCAGGCACTCCACTCATCCTTCAGAGTGCAAGCACTCCACTCATCCTTCAGAGCGCAGGCACTCCACTCATCCTTCAGAGCGCAGGCACTCCACTCATCCTTCAGAGTGCAGGCACTCCACTCATCCTTCAGAGTGCAGGCACTCCACTCATCCTTCAGAGTGCAGGCACTCCACTCATCCTTCAGAGTGCAGGCACTCCACTCATCCTTCCGAGTGCAGGCACTCCACTCATCCTTCAGAGTGCAGGCACTCCACTCATCCTTCAGAGCGCAGGCACTTCACTCATCCTTCAGAGCGCAGGCACTCCACTCATCCTTCAGAGCACAGGCACTCCACTCATCCTTCAGAGTGCAGGCACTCCACTCATCCTTCAGAGTGCAGGCACTTCACTCATCCTTCAGAGTGCAGGCACTCCACTCATCCTTCAGAGCGCAGGCACTCCACTCATCCTTCAGAGTGCAGGCACTCCACTCATCCTTCAGAGTGCAGGCACTCCACTCATCCTTCAGAGTGCAGGCACTCCACTCATCCTTCCGAGTGCAGGCACTCCACTCATCCTTCAGAGTGCAGGCACTCCACTCATCCTTCAGAGTGCAGGCACTCCACTCATCCTTCAGAGTGCAGGCACGCCACTCATCCTTCAGAGCACAGGCACTCCACTCATCCTTCAGAGTGCAGGCACTCCACTCATCCTTCAGAGCGCAGGCACTCCACTCATCCTT